GTCTCTCTCTCTGTCTCTCTCTCCGTCTAAAATCTTGTTTGTTTGTTACGCACAAGTCTACCGCTGTTTTTTCCTTTTACTTACTTCCAAAAAGAAAACCTAATTTCTGCCGTTCAACAGGCTTCTGCACAAATTTAAACTTTTTTAAATTATGCGAAACGCTGTGTCTGTAATAAAACCGCTGTAACTTCAGAGGCAATGTTCATGTGTTGATTAACTTTGACTGCCTGCTCAAACATTTGGTTTAGCATATTTTGAGAGACTATATATAATGAACTGGAGTACTTAGCTTAACTCAACCTTATTGAGCCATCTCTACCACTTGGTTGAGTTATGTTATCCTAAAATAAAACACTAGATGGCACTGTGTCAGGATATGGCAGGCCTCATCTGCCACCCTCCAACCAAGAAATCAGAAAGCAAAAAATCACTCTGGACACATGGACTGTTTTGGCTAAAAATTTTAAAGGTAAGTAGATTTTTCTGCAGTATAAAAATGTCAGAGTCTTTACTGAACATGATTATGTCATTTGATACCAGAAAATAGCTGTAATAAATCCTTAATATTTTTTTAAAAACATGCTCAACCAAACGGTTGATTTGTCAATTGATGGTAAGAGTAGTAAAACTTAGCTAATGTTTAGAACTGCTGTTTTAACATATGAAATTGACTATTTACTATTGAATATAAATAATTTAATGATCTATACATGTAAATATGACATGTTTAAAATTTTCCATGACAAATACTGTATGTTACAAACTGTTCTAATGTTTAAAGATTTACTCACTTTCTGTGATTATTTTTTAGAGTACAGTTTTAAATGACACATGGAAATCAAACCAACTATATTTCTACAATTTTATTTTTTTTAATGTTTATTAGATGGATTGCAAATCTTTTTATGGAGCAAGACAACGCACCTACCTGGCCCTTGTACCTGAAAATTCTCAGGACTCCGATGGTGAACTGAGTGATGATGACCCAATAGAGGATCCAGATTTTCAACCCAATTTTGCAGATGATAGTGATGAAAGCTGCTTTGATGTTTCCCTGGATGAAGATGCTCCTTCAACAAGTAGATCTAATAAACTTTTGCGTAAAATGAGCAAAAAAGGGAAACCTATCCTAAAAACAGTTCCCTTGGATGAAGCAGAGGATACATTAGACCCATCTTCCTCTTTAGTCCCAAAAAAAGACACAAGAAGAATCTGGAAGCATGAGGACATTGAAGAATTTCAAGTTCCGGATGCAAGTTTCGAAACACCTGACGCCCTACAGTCCCCATTCCAGTACTTCAAAATGCTCTTCACTGATGAAATGATTGATCATATTGCCTATCATACCAATCTGTATTCTGCTCAAGAGTTGGGGGACACAATCAAGACTAGCCCTAAGGAAATTGAAGATTTTCTGGCAATCCTCCTATTCATGGGTGTTTTCAACTTTCCATCGCTAGAGGATTACTGGCACCATGAGTCACGTTTCAGTGTGATAGCAGATATCATGCCAAAGAAGAGATTCCAGCTTTTGCGCCGGTTCATTCATTTCAGTGATAATCAGCAGTGCAATGAGAGTCAAGACCGATTTAAAAAAAATCAGACCTCTCTTTGATATGCTTCGTGAGCAATGCCTCCAGATACCATCAACAAATAAGCACAGCGTAGATGAGGTCATGGTAGCATATAAAGGCACAAGGGCTGGCAATCTCCGTCAATATATTGCCAACAAGCCAGACGAATGGGGCTTTAAGGTGTTTTGCCGAGCAAGTTCATCTGGCATCATTCATGACCTGGTCAGGGACCTTCCACATTCTTCAACGTTACCCTCAGTGAAGAGGAGCAGATGTTACCTTTGGGAGCCAAAGTGGTGACAACACTTTGCCAAACCATAACACAGCCAAGGCTTTCTGTTGTGTTCTGTGACAACTATTTTACCAGTGATGACAGACAAAGAGCTGATGAAGAGAGGGTGTGGAGCTTTTGACTACAGGTCTGCTGAAGGTGTGATCGCAGTTAAATGGTTTGACAACAAATGTGTGAACCTGCTAAGTAATGCTTCTGGGATCATGCCACTTTCAACTGTCAAACGCTGGAGCAAAGAGTCCAAGGTGAAAGTTATGATCCCATGCCCATCACTCATCCCTGCATACAATGAGCATATGGGAGGGATAGATCTCTCTGACATGCTGGTACACCTGTACAAGACCCCAGCCAAGTCTACAAGATGGTACCTGCCACTCTTTGGTTACATGCTTGATCTGTCCATTGCAAATTCCTGGCTGGTCTACAAGAGGGAATGTGGACAACTAAACCAGAAACCAATCACACTCAAAAGATTCCGCCTGGCAGTTGCGCATAGCTTGAAACAAGTCAACAAGCCAGCATCCAAAGTTGGCCAACCATCATCCAGCTCTCCATCACCACCAAAGAAACGATACACCCCAAGACCCTCACAACCACAGCCAGATGTGCGATATGACTGTTTTGGGCATTGGCCACTTCACTGTGACAAGCGAGGCTGATGCAATTACTGTCCAAAGGGCGTCTCAAGATGGAAATGCCAAAAATGCAATGTTTTCTTGTGCTTGAATGCCAGTCAGGAATGCTTTGCAGTGTACCACCAGAAGATCTAATCATCAAGGGGTATTGGTGAAGTTGCATGAATGGCAAAAGAAAAGAGCCAGAACTGTTTCAGTGTGTTCTCAAAATTTTCAGTGCAAAATGGCAATGGTATATAATATACCACCAGAATTTTCTGGAAAATAAAATAAAAAAATGTTAGTGCTGTTCCAACACTACAGTGAAAAGTTTATGTTAACAACAGGTCAAAAGTGAATTTGTATGTTTATGAATTTTCGGTAATTGCAGATCAAGTTTTGATCAAATTTACAATATTTTTGTGTTTTATACATTTTGTGGTTTGTTATTATGACGCCCACTGTTGAAATGGAATCCAACAATGTTTGATGTTTTACTACCACAATAAAGTGGGTCAAACACAAAATTGGGTAGTTATTGTTTTGCAAAATGAGTATAACCTTTACTTTTTTCTACTGTCTGTAGAACTTTATGTAGTTGTACTATAGAGAGACATCTCAACCGTTTGGTAGAGGGTAATATTTAAAAAACTATAAGGTGTGTATAAAACATTTTTTTTGATTGTGATCATTATTGACCTAAAGGAATAGAAAATATGAACAAATAATTTTTTTCATTGTATTTATCTTGGTGAGGCAGTCAAAGGGTTTTAATGGTTTTCTTTCGTTTTTGATGTACTGCAGAATATCCATCCATCCATTCGCTTCCGCTTATCCTTTTCAGGGTTGCGGGTCGCGCTGGAGCCTATCCCAGCTGTCATAGGGCGTGAGGCGGAGTACACCCTGGACAGGTCGCCAGTCTGTCGCAGGGCGAACACATAGACATAGACAACCATTCGCACTCACATTCACTCGCACATTTACACCTAATGGCAATTTGGATTATCCAATTAACCTATCCCCACAAGCAGAAGTACTGCAGAATATTTTTATAAAATCCCAGAACAGAAAAACCACCTTCATGTTTTTCTGTTTTATCTTCAGCTACTTTGACACAAAGGCCTCGCTGTGATGCTCACACCTTTGATAAAGTCTTGCGAGTGTCAGCTTCCTTTCTATAGGCAAAATTTCCCAGATTCAAATCGAATGGAATAGATTCTAGACGGCGGTGACGATACCCAGTCCTAGGTCCAGTCTGAGAGGAGCAGGAAGCAGCGGCAGATTTGGGGGCGGGACTACATCTGAGATAAGCTGTTGAGTCTCCACGTTGTGTCATGGTGATGTCGTGTGTTTGGATGTACAGGGTTTCCCGGTGCAGACGGTGGTGAACCCCGGCGCTCCTCTGGTTCTGAACCTGCAGCCGGGTCAGACGGTGCAGCCGCTCACGCTCATCCGGTGTAGGTCGATCTAATTGGTGACGAAATCCGTGATCGATGTCAGCCGATCGCTAATCAGCCGTTTCCTGTCCACAGCCCCGTCGCTGGGTCAGCTGGTTCGGCCCAGTGTGGGCGTGTCGCCGGTAAGGTCAGGCCCCGCACCCTCAGGAGGTCCCACCCAGCCCGGCTCGACCTTCACTGCCATGCAGCTGCCCGCCACGCTGACGATTCGCACCAGCACACCAGCACCCGGTGAGCGTGACACCTAGAGTGGGAGGAGCTTCTTTTAGGACGACTCAAACTGACCAGTTTCATGTTTTTCAGTTAACCTCCACGTGACCCAAGTGGGCGGAGCCAATACACTGAAGGTGGCTGGGTCCCCCGCCCTCCCCTTAGGTTCAGCCAATGGCGTCACCAGAGCCACTCCCATCAGCAGCGGTACACCAATAACCTGTCAGTGCTTGTGTGTGCTCAGATTTGTTACGTCTTACCTTTGTGTGTGTGTCACCTGCTCCCACAGCCGCTCGCTCCGCCCCTTCGACTGTCAGCACAAACTCGGCTGACTCCACCCGTGTGGTGATGAGCGTGGAGGAGTTTTATTATGGCACATTTGAAGGTGATCTGAGTCTGAGGAAGCCCCTCCCACTGGGAATCAAAACCTCCACCTTCACCTGCCAGATCTGCTCTCACCTGTCAGAGAATAACCTGAGGTGAGCACCTGAGCACACGCGGGATACAGATGCGGTGCTCTGTATGTTTAATGTGTGTGTGTGCAGGTTGATGCAGCACATGCTCCAGCATTCAGAGCTGATTAATGACGGCGGCGATGATGACAGGAAGTGCTGCAGGTTCTGTTACCGTCAGTTCTCGTCTGACGCTCAGCTGCAGAGCCACGAGGACCAGGTGCACGGCCCCACCCTCTCCTCCTGTAAGACCCACACACGGAGTGCTTGCCTGTGTTTTTGCATGTGTGACGAGCTGCGTTGGCTCAGGGCTCACCTGTCACCTGTCTGTCTCTCAGGTATGTGTCGTATCTGTGAGTGGGCGTTTGAAAGCGAGCCACTCTTCTTAAACCACATGAAGTCCAACCACAAACCGGGTGAGATGCCTTACGTTTGCCAGGTGAGTGACCACTGACCCGCCCCTTCCCACCTACGGGCCGTCCTAGGTCAGGTCTGATCCTTACCTCAGGTGTTAACGACCTCGCAGGTGTGTTCGTATCGCTCGTCCTTCTACTCGGACGTCCTTCAGCACTTCTCCAGCTTCCACAGAGACTCGTGCTTCCTGCTCTGTATTTTCTGTCTGAAAGTGACCAGAAATCCCGTCAGCTACCGGCAGCACCTGCTCAAACACCAGGTAAGCACACGCACCAGGTGTAGACGAACAAACACCAGGTGTAGACTTCCTGCAGTGGAAGTGGATGGGTCTTTTAATTTGAAATTCTCTGTTCCCAGATAAACCAGGCCTTCCACTGTAACAGGTGTCGTCTGCAGTTTGTTTTCCTCAAAGACAAGATGCAGCACAAACTGGAAAACCACCGCAGCTTCCGCCGCCCGCCTCAGCTGGAGGGCCTGCCGCCGGGGTCAAAGGTCAGTGCCTTCATCTTGATTTAAATGTCTTGCTCCAGACAGGTGGCATTACTGGTCCATGTGTCTTCAGGTGACCATCAGGACCTATGGCAAGATAAGGCCCTCGGTGACATCAGGAGGAAGCCGCCTCCTCCAGAACCCCGCCTCCCTCATCCAGCCAATCAAGATCAAGATGGAGCCACAGAGGTCTCTGATCCAGAAGAACCCCACAGCATCAAAATTACCGCGGTCCCCGACCAAGAAGCTGGGCAGCCGTCGAATCCATGGCAACAGGTGAGGCTGACGGTGACAGGTGACGTCGATTTTGGGCCCCTCCTCTTGTGTTGTTGATGTCACATGATTCAGGTGTGTCTCTCCGCTCCTCCTGCAGGAGGTCAGGTGATGACGACAGGTTGGTGTGTTTGGAGTGCGGGACCGACGCCTCCGATTTCTCCGCCCACTATCCGACTCACGTCCACTGCCTGCTGTGCCCCTACAGCAGCTGCTGCTCCCGGGCCTATGCTGCTCACATGATCAAGTAAGTAATCAGAGTACTGCAGGAGTATTCTTTAGCAGTAGTGCGTGCAGTAATCTGGATTTATGGATGCTCGATCGTTTATCTGCAGCCACCACGTCCCGCGCTCCAAAGACAAAGCCGTCCCCCTGCACAGGCTGCCTCCTCCATGGTGAGAACCTCATTGATCTGATCAGGTTGGTCTTCGCGCTGCCGATGAAGCTCCGCCTCCTCATTTTCTTCTTCTCTTCCTCACCGCTCAGCCCGTTCCACCTGCAGTGCTTCAGGTGTGAGTTCAGTTCTCAGACAGCTGACCTGATGGCCAATCACCTGCTGATGAACTCGGAGCATCACAGCGCCACCTGCAGGATCAGGAGTAAGACCGCACCACCACAACTACACCCATAACAACACAATCTACAGCAACAATCGCTGCTACACCCAAACAGGCTGCGTTCAGCTGCTCGTTTAAAACAAAGGGCAGCTCAGTGGGTACAGCACGCACACAATGTGTACACATGTACATAACATCCACACAACAGCCACACACCATGTAGTGTGTGCATGTACACTTGTGTAGCTAATAAAGTGTCAAGCAGAGGTTTCTTCATGGTGCAACATTAGCGTCTCCACAGCTGCTGCAGAGTAGCACAAACACCCCGATGAGGATAAAGTGGAGCTGATGAAACTGCTGTTCGGGGGGAAATCAGCTGACGTCTCTGAAGCTGAAAGGTCGACGGGTTCTTGGCGTTCACAGAGGTCTCTCTGTTTTCCTCTTAAATCACACTTTTCCTGGTGGGGAGCCTGGAATTGATCCATCGCTGTGACGGCAAAGAACTGGAAGGTTTCCAGTTTCTGCAACCGGGAGAACAACGGGGGAGGGGTCGAGGTTTACTCAGCCTAACAATCGCTGTTTAAAGTTTGTAGATGCAACATGGAAAATTCCAGGCTTGTCCACTCATCCAACCTTGAAGCAGTGTTAAAGATCTGTCCTCTGGCTCTCGGCTGCCTGAGCTGTAAATGTTTACTTGGGCACTTCCTGGAGCCTCAGCTGTGTCGCTCAGTCTGAAGGCTCCAGTCCCGTTCTTTGCATTCTGCTCTAAACGTCAGTCACGTCAGGGTGAAAGTTTTGGAGTGAACAAACTAACCTCGGCCTCGCAGCTTCTCCTGTATGAAGAATAGTGTACAGGCTTTTGTCTGCACAGCGGAGCCAGAACATCTGGATTTTTCTCCGTTTCAGGAAGTTATGAGAAGTGATTCAGCTGGGAAATACAAAGCCTGGATTTTTGATTCCTTGGTTGGTAGATGGTTTCTGCTCCTCCAGTTGATTAAACGTCCCCACTCTCCCCACTCTGCCTCTGACTTCCTGAACAACACGGAGCTGCTGCTCCCATTCATGCATGTTTTCTTGATGCACGTGTATGTTTAACCTTTTAAATGTTTTTTAATTAAAATAAGATTTCACTCAATTTACTCCAAAGCGTTTAACTGTTTGATCCAGGTTCTACTCTGTAGCAGCTGTGGAGACTCTAATGTTAAACTGGTTCACAGAGGAAGCATGCAGTTGCAGTTATCAGGGAATAATCTTGCTGTGATTAAGTGTTTTTCAGCAGTGAGCAGCAGAACAGGCAGAGATTAGTGCTGTTTCTCAACACTCAAGTACGCAAGTCTGCACTCACGTTCTTGCTAGTCCATATTTCATAAGTTCACACGGGAATCTGGCGGTCTTCCCGATAACGCAGCGCGATCGTTCTACAATTGGAACAACAGTGTAGGTGATGACATCACAGCTCCAGATAAGCAATTTGGCAAAATTTGCATTTACATATGATCGGTTTCATGTCTCATGACCTTCATACAGTTAAACACAATCACTACATGACAGAAACACACGCTTCATCTCTCTTAGTAGAAACAGGAGAGATGTTAGAACGCTTTTATTTTAATTTTAGTAATCACTCAAAGCTTACAGCCGACAGCTGCAGTAATTCGGAAGAGAACTGAACAAATATTTCAAATATAATCTGATCATTGTCGGATCCTTCAGGATCTCCACGTATTAACACACTGCTTTTGTTCCCGGTGAAAATGTTTCCTCCTGAATTAAAATCTTTTTAATATTAGATTTAATTCAGAGTCAGCTGTTTAAATAAGAACAGCACATTTTACATCAGGGGATATGACGGGTGAAATTCATACTGACAGCTCTCAGAGTAAGGCTTTAAATTAAATAAAACGGTGCAGTTATGAAGCTGAACTTTAATCTCAGCC